AGGCTTGTCTACAGCCTGATCTTATGGGAGCATTTTCTCAATTGAGGTTCCTTGTCTCTGATGACTATACCTTGTGTCAAGTTGACATAAAACTAGCCAGTACAAGAGTATATGGCCTCTTTTTGCAACTAGAGATGTTAGAACCACATATAAGAATCCTTGACTAAATTGTTGTAATAGTTTTGCTTTTGAAAGTGTTGACAGATTTATGAAATCTTCATTTAAAAACTCAAGATAGATGAAGAGAAAGGAGTGTGATAAAGGGATTTTAAAGAGACAGGGTAAAAATAATCAAGAACATATTGGAAGTAAAGAATAATGAAAGGGAATTTACTCTCCTAATTAATGTGATTCAGTAACCAAAGCAGCACACATTGCTGAAGGAAGCAGATTGCTCACTGTAAGGGATTTAGTATCGTAGATATTGACCCCAAACTGAGTACAAGTTAAAAGTGGCATGGAAAATCGGCGAGAACAGTGCAATTATTGAATAAATGATATGGAACAAATGGATACCATTTGGAAAAACAAAGTTAAACTACCTTTATCTGAAATAAATTGCAGGGGGTGTGACCTTTAACGCTTTAAATACTAGAGATAAATGTCGACCGAGGGAAGTTCCTCTCTAAGTAGAAATGGCAAAGGAAGGTTTTAGCTAAGTGGAAGATGGAGTATCTGTCTTTATCCATCCTCTTCATATAAGTGATAAGAAAGAGTAGTTTGGAAAAAATCAAATCTGTTAGAAAGCAAACAAATTAAGCACTATCAATACACCAGGAGTTGGTGAAGTCCAGGAATATGGAACATGGAGTCGGGGCAGGATTGGGGGAGACTACAGCTAAAGCAAAAAATTGGTGAGACATTCCACAGGTGAGATCTGATCTTCTCAGGAAGACCCTGAGGCCACAGTTTCTGGGCCAGTAGCACCTGGGAGCCTGTCTAAACACCAGAGTCTGGAATCCCACTGTGGACCTATTGGACCTAAAATCCGGGGACCCAACACCCTAGACTGTAACACTGCTTCCATAAGAGTTTAGTGCACATGATGCCTGCCTTCCTTGCTCACAGTCAAATACATGTGCTGAATGGGTTCTATTGTGGTCAGTTGAGCATGTCTCCATTCCAAGGAGCTGGGAGAAGAGGCCTCCACTCCACTGTCCTAAACATGAATCAAGGATTAGTCAGGGCATTTACTTTCAAGGTCAAATCTTAGGAATGACTTTCAAAACACAAGCTCTTTCTCTATAGAAGTTCCACCTTATTGATTGGGCGGGGGGAGGGGGCCCACTGAGCAGAGCTAGAGAAATCCCTAGTCTCTTGATACCAGCAGAGTGAAGGAAACAAGATTTTTGTTTCCTCCCCAGAACGATTTACAAATACATGGTTCTCTGAAGAAGTAGTTTTAAAAAAAAAGGGGTCACCAGCGTTTTCTTGGGACTAAAGCATTAAACCTATGCCCGTGTTTCAGATGACTTCTAGTAGGTGGGAACGGAATCTTCTCATTTGGAAGTTAAGAATGTTCACCTTGCTGTCTGTATGACTAACTTACGCATCCCTGTGGCTCTAACACCTGACAGAAATAACTTGAGGGAGAAGTAATTTATTTGAACCCATGGTTTCCAAGAGTTTCAGTCTGTCACGGTGGCAAAGGCATAGTGGAATAGCTCAGTGTGTGGTAGCAGAACCTAGGGGGCCAGGAAGCAGAGAGCAATGCAGGAATCGGGCAAGGATAATATACCCCCAGTCAACTGCTGCCGTCCCTATTCCCACCATGACTCACTTCCGCTAGCTAAGCCCTGCCTCCTAAGAGTTTGACTCGCCCACAGTAGCTCTTTAGCTGGGGAGCAAACATTCAAACATGAGGCTGTGGGGGATATTTTAAATTCCATCTATGACAGTATTTTCCCTTTGTTGCCCACTACACTATCTGTATTCAGAGCTCTTCTTCTCTAGCATGTAAATATGCAAACTATAAAGCAAGGTATCCATGGAAACTTTTTCTACTGGACCATGAAAAGGAATGGGCTCAGTTTGGAGCTTCTGTAGTTTTCTGTGAAGAGTCAGCGAGTAAATATGTTTGGTTTTGTACAGTTCTTTGTGGCGACTATTCAATTCCATCGCTGTGGACACAAAAGCAGCTATAGATAAGTTTCCAGAGACGATGTATCAAGGAGCAGGGGTGGGGTTGCTCTGAGAAAACCATCTCCAACGGCAAGTGGCAGATGTGCTGAATTCGGCCCCTGGGCCATAGCCTGCCAGTCTTGGTTGAGAGGAGAATCTCAAACTCAAAAGTGAACAGATGGGCCGCAGAGGTGGCTCAGTGGGTAAAGATGCCTGCTGCCAAGCCTCACTGGGACCCATCTTGTGGAAGGGACAGAATCAACTCTCACAAGTTATCCTCTGACCTCTACTCATGCACCAAACAGCATTCACATTCGCATGAGCACACACACACACACACACACACACACACAGAGAGAGAGAGAGAGAGAGAGAGAGAGAGAGAGAGAGAGAGAGAGAGAGTAAATAAACAGATATAATTTTAAAAGTGAGCCAACATCTAAGAAATAAATATTGAGAAAGCCTGTCAATGCCTGCCCTGCCTCATTTGTGAGGAAACAGTTACTAGAGGAAAAGAAGAAAAAATGTTAAAGCGCTTTAGATCCCCAGCAAATAGTTGTGTTCCCACAAAAGAGCAAGTGCATATGAAACAAACAGGAGTCTTGAACATTATACAAAAGATCGACACAGCAATATCAACAGCCGAGCTGAATCCCTGAATGAGGTGGAAGCTGGAAGCTGTCTCCTCCACAGCACAACTGGAAGACAAAATGCTGCTAATGAGGTGGTGCCTGAGTCCCAACAGCTCTTGGAGAAAAAGATCTAAGAAACAGAAAAGAAATAAACATAGGAGTCACAACAGATAGCATCCTGATTGATTGGACTACCACAAAATGTAAATCACCTGCCCATCAAAATTCATAATAACACAACCTATACAGGAGTAAATGAGGACCAGTGTAGAGTTAGCTGTCTCCAGAACACAGAAGATTCATACAAAGTGTTTAGTAGTCCAAGCAGAAAAATGGGCAGAGCACACAGTGAAGTGATTCACAGAGAGATGTGAGTTTCTAAATAACTTACACCAGACACCGTGGCCACAAACAAAGGTATCTCATGTATATTTGCATATCTCTGGTTCAAATCCCCTTTCTAAAATCTATCCAAGTACCCACTCATCAGCCAAAGATTTTCTCTTTTTATCTTTGTTATATATTAATGAAAGAAGACTCTTGGATTTCATGGCAGAGATCAGTGATTTTCATATTCTTATCGTACCCACATCACCTGAAGGGCCCTTGAAATCATGATTATTGGGCTGGGAGATGTCTCAGTGAGGAAAGTGCTTGTTATTCAAGCATGAGGGCCTGAGTTCAGATCCCCAGCACCCACATAGAAAGCTGAGTGGAGTAGATGATTTTAACCCCTGGGGTGGTAGTGGGTGAGGAGGAGCAGTTACAAACGTATTCCAAGCCTCCAATGGCCAGCTAGTCTCATTGGTCAATGAGCCTTAGGTTTAGTTAGAGGCACTATCTCCAAAAATAAGATGAAGAGTAATAGAAAAAGACAGCCAAAGTCCGCCTCCAGATGCATACACGCATAGGCAAGCACTCCCACCCATACCTGTGCACACACAGGCATATACCACACACACACACACACACACACACACATTTATACATACACACATAGACATCTAGACTACTAAAGATGTTGACCAGAGGATACAAACTGTTAGTCACATGACCAGCAAGTTATTGGATCTAAGGTACAAAGTGAGTCAATATGGAGGTAAATTTGATTTTTGAGAATTATCATAGAAATGTATGTGCATATAAAATCATTACACTGTATACTTTAAATACATACATTTTCCCTGTCACTTAAATGTTTCAAATCTTTAAAATTAGAGTATGAGCCATTAGCTGTAAGATGGACAATTCTGGGGGCTCTGGTGTATGGCAAAGGTGGTAACAAATACTGATCACTCTGATCACAGTAAACATTATGCAATGCATGCACATATCACATAATCACAATATTTATTAATGTGTATATGATATTTGTCATTAAATATTTTTAAATAAAAAATTTTAGACATTCAGATTACTGAATTCTGCCCTCTGAGTTCCTGACACCCTAAGCCCTGGTGTGGGGCCCGTGACTGTAAAATGCTAGTTCCCAGGTGACATTTATGGTGCCATTCCAGGAATCCATACTTTGAAAACAGGAAGTCAGGAGTTGGTAAGCTTCTTCCATAAAAAAAGTGAGTATTTCAGGTTTTGTTAGCCATGGAGTCTCTGGTATGACTATCCCGTTGCTGTGATTGATCGCTGGCACACCGCAGTCAGCATGTGACACCATGGGCTTGGATTCCCATGCAGCTCTGTTGAGCAGCCAGCCAGGTTTGCCCCCATGAAATAGCATGCCAACTCCCCATATAGGTAAAGAGGATCCAGGTATAAGAGCACACATCACGAACAGATGAAGCTTAAACTGTGGATTCTAACCTGAGAAGAATGGACTTATTCATCACCCGTCACCCATTTCCAAAATGGGCTTCTGGTGACACTACGCACAGATTGGCTTTCACTGGAAAGTCTGCCTGAATGGTAAAATGCAGAAAGAGAAGAAGGTGGGAAGGAGACAAGGAACCTCACTCTCAGTGTACTAGAGATTACCAAAACCACAGATGACAGTTCAGTGTTGGCTGAGGAGGCATTTAGCTAAACGGTTCTCATGGAAACCAAGTGTACCCGTTGCATGAGAAATAGCTGACGGGACCAGGAAGGGGGCTGCTTGATCCTGACAGGTAGCTGCTAATTAGCAATCAAAACCTAATTGAGATTAACAGCTGTTTTTCTAATACAGTTACTAACAGGGAGGCAGAAATGACAGGAAGACCATCCAAGCTCTACAAACCGCATTCCCACATCAGAAAGCTGGCAGAACAGAGCAGCACACCAAGCAACAGGAAGATGAAAGTGCGCTGTGTACACAGAGCTGAGCTGACAGGCCAGAGAGGGCTGGATCCAGAGGACCAATTAGGGCATACACACCAGGGCTGGAGGCAGATAAAGGGGCAGGATGCGAGCAATTCAAGAACATCTATTCACTGGCTGCTGGGGCTGAGCCAGAGCCTGGCTGCCATGGAGAGAAGGGCACATTGGCCCGCTCTCTTAGCTGTCAGCGGAGCCCTTGGGTTAGACCGGCAATCCTTTCAAAAGCTCTGTCTGAGTACTTTCTGAGCATCACCTCTGCCTGCAGAAATATCTGTGTCGCCCCACGGGACTGAACCTGCGACATTTCCACCAGGTGAGGCTTATCAAAGGGTTAATCTCTCTTTGACATGCTTTCAGTGGGTTTTCTTTTGCCAATGCAGTCTCGGTGAAGTGGCTCTGAATGAGCTCCCTTAATTAGCACCGCTAGCAGAACCAGTGGCTGCCACCGCAAGTATAGGAGAGGACTAGGGGAAGCTTGAATACAGAACAAAACTCAACCAACACAGCTGTCCCAGATAATGGAACCTACATACACCTCCAGAAACATGTAGCACCTCCTGTGTGCTGGGTGCTAGACTAAGCATGTGGCTTATGTAACTGTCACAACACTGTTAGGGAGCCCCTCCATCTTGCAGAGGAAAAAGCAGATTGTTAGGAAGTACCCCTGGTTTACCAGGCTGTGGCAGCTGGAGCTGAACCTGGGTTGCCTAACACCTCTGCTGCAGCCCAGCAACACCACCCTTGCCTAGAACCTCAGCGGACATGCCCCAGTTCAGACCTGGCCTGATCTAGCACCTGCCCTGGCACCTAGATTAGCACCTGTACTAGACCAGACCTGTCATTCCTGTGCCTATCATGTCTTAAGAAAACTGCACTTTTTCTCTATCCCCTCACGTAGAGAGATGCCACCCAGATACATTAATATTAAGAGCAGAGGGCATCTTGCAATAACAAGAATACAGTGAATTTGCCCACGCAAAGTGCAAGGTGGGGAAATGGCCTCTGTTCAATGCTTTTTCAGTCATCAGCTGTTTTCCTAAGTGTTGGCTTATTTACAGAAGAAAGCCTGTTTATTTTTCTTCCAACTCTGTCTGCCACAGGCCATTTTCACAGCCTTAATCCCTTCCTATTTCATCACATAGTCACTGCTGTCGTTAAGTGATAATTGCTTCTTTTGCACCATTTTTTTCCTACCACCCTCTTTCTTCAACTTCTAACTTCTGAATTTATCTCAGTTAAAGCAGCCTAGTTGTTTCCAGACTGATGGGTTCTGCAGCACCCTCTCCCTCAGCTCCTCTCCTGGCCTCTTTTTGTGGTTGTCCTGGAAAGCATTGATTCCGCATATACTTAGCAACTAGAAATCAACTCTCACACACTGTAGGTGGAAATGCAGATTGGAAAACAGTTTGGCAATTTCTTGCGAACTTAAGCATATAATTTTTTTTGTGACCAACTATCACACTCCATAAAGAAATAAAAGCGGCGCTTCCTCTTTCCAGCCAGCGCCATGCGATGGGCATCTCTCGAGACAACTGGCACAGGAGCCGCAAGACGGGGGAGGGTGGGGGGTAAGAGAAAGCCCTACTACAAGAAGTGGAAGTATGAGCTGGGACGGCCTGTTGCCAACACGAAGATTGGCCCTCGTCGTATACACACAGTCCGAGTCTCAGGAGGCAATAAGAAGTACCGTGCCCTATGATTGGATGTGGGGAACTTTTCCTGGGGCTCTGAGTGTTGTACTCAGAAAACAAGGATCATTGATGTTGTCTACAATGCATCCAATAACGAGCTGGTCTGCGCCAAGACCCTGGTGAAGAACTACACTGTGCTTATCGACAGCACACCATACCGACAGTGGTATGAGTCTAGTGAGAAATAAAAGAAATAAAAGCGGCCCTGCCCCTCGGCCGCAAGAAGGGGGCCAAGCTGACTCCTGAGGAGGAAGAAATATTAAACAAAAAAAGATCAAAGAAAATCCAAAAGAAATACGATGAAAAGAAAAAGAACGCTAAAATCAGCAGTCTTCTGGAGGAGCAGTTCCAGCAGGGCAAGCTTCTTGCCTGTATTGCCTCAAGACCAGGCCAGTGTGGCCGTGCTAGAAGGCAAGGAGCTGGAGTTCTGTCTGAGGAAGATCAAAGCCCGGAAAGGCAAATAAAGCATTATTCATAGCTCATATAATAAAGGTGTTTATTGTTCTATATAAAAAAAGAAAAGAAATAAAAGCATACATTGACAGGAAAACCTGTGTGCAAAATGTTTAAAGAAGTTCTGTTAATATTGCAGAAGCTAAGAACAACTCAAATGTCCTTTAAATAAATGGTAGTATGAAAGAGAACATTACTCAGAGTCAGAAGGGAATGAGAGAAGATATAAAACTAAAGTCAGCATGATAAAGTTATTTTTTTTTCTGGTTTCAACTCCATCATGATTTTTTTCTCTTTTATTGTGGATAAATGAATAAAAATAATTGATTGCAGATGTGTAAGACCCTAGTGAAGCTCCATTGTTTCAGAACGGCCATTCTAACCATGTAGAAGTTGACTACGATGTGCAGCGTTTAGGGGCCAGGCAAGTGTTTGAGTGGCCTCTTAAACTAGCTGTGTGGTGGTTTTATTTGTGAGTTAATTAAAATAAGTGATGTTGTTAAAGAAAAAATAAAAAAAGTATTGAGCTACTAAAACACTCAACAAAATGCATTCATCTCAAAGCATTATGCTAAGTGAAAAAGCCAGGCACAAAACTTCCTGTACGGTTCCATTTATATGAAACTCTAGAGAAGGAAAACCTGTAGTGATGAAAAGCCCATCAGTGGTTGGCAGGATGCTGGAAATGAAAGCAGGAGGATGATTGCTGGGGGCACAAAAGAATATTTTGATGAAAATGTTGTATCACGATTGTAGTGGTGACAACACTATTTCATGCATTTGTTAAACTCCATCAAATTACGTATTTGAATTTGGTGAAATTCAACTGCATGTAAATAGTGTTTAATAATATTAATAAAAATACAGGTATCTGGGATTTGTTGTGTGTTGTTGTTATAAAGGAGAAGAGAAAGTGCATCAGATCCACCATAGTAGCTGGTCACCCCCACCATTGTCAAATAACAGGAAAGGAGGCAGGCATATAAACACCTCACATTGGTGGAGGGCTAGACTGTACTCTGAATAGTCTTACAATTCTGTACTTAAATAAAACACATTCTAAACATGTTTTCAGTGTCCCGAGGCTCTGGAATCTGAAATGAGCTCCATATAGAGACCATAAACATGTTGTAATTAAAGAGCTGCTAAATGTCACTTGTATCAAAGCTGAGAAAAGAGAACTTCAATGACAGCGTCTAAAGCCATCCAGAGTCGATGTCTCTGGATTAAAACTCCAGTCTTGATAGAATCAGGCCCCTATCTTCTTGGCTAGAGGAAAACTCTTTTCTGTAGAGTTTTCCTTCTAGGAGCATTTATAAAGCAGTTTGTCATCTTATCTTGATAATTTGGTGCAAGCATTAATATGCTTTGAAGTCAAAGCCCCATTGTAGTTCTTAAATATTAAAAGGAAAACTATTTCCATCACTTATTCGTTCCTCACACGACTGCCTGAATGGCCTTAGAAAATAGCCCTGTAAGGTCTCATCTCTGGCCCAGGGCTGGTATGGGATCACTTCTAGCATTAACTACCCAGAGAACCAGGGCTCTCAGTTGGGTCCTGCTGTCAAGCTGATGTGCCATGACACACAGGCAGTCCTGTTCATCCAGAGAGTCTATCACCTCCACTCTGAAATCTGACTCCTACTGGGGCTACTCCAGCCCACCTCGTATCTATATATCCCATAACATAATCACAGGCAGAGTTTGCCCAAAGCCTTACTTTGCTCTTTGTGAAAATCAGTGTCCATGAGTAGATGCCTGACACATTTGTGCCAAAAGCACTGGGTTTCAACTCCTGTGCAGCCAGAAACATATTATACAGAGAAAAAAAATCCAAATACAGTTAGCGTTAATCAGAAAAGGGGTTTTTTGTTGTTGTTGTTTTGTTTTATTTTTTGAGTCTGTGGACTAGACTGTAGAACCAAGAAGAGAGCTGAATAATCATTTCCTGAAAATGCAAGAACCTGAACATCTCTGGGGTTCTGAGTAGGATAAGGAAAGTGTGGCCACATTTCAAACCCAGTGGCCAGGGGAAGGAAAAACTGTAACGAACAACTGTAACCACTATCTAGTATTCTGAAGTCATAGAAAGGTTGCTAGATTTGTTTAAGTTTTATTATATACCTGCTAGAGTTCAGACTTTGAATGCCCACGGAATGCCTGTGTTAAAGTCTTAGTCTTCAGTGTGGTACCATTGGGAGGTTGTAGAACCATTAAGAAGGGAAACCTAGTTGGAAGTCTTGGATCACTGAGGCTAGGCTCTTGAGGAATGGGAATGCAAGGTAAGCAGCCTCTTCCCTAGTCTCCTTTTGCTTCCTGGTCACAAGGGCAAACACATCTGTTCTGCTATATTCTTCAATAGTCATGGGTTGCCTCAACAAAAACAGTGGGGATTACTGGATTGCACCTTGAAACTGAGAGGCAGATTCACCCCTTTTTTTAATAAGCTAATGGGGGGGTGGATATTTTATCATAGTGCTGGAATACTGACTGATGCAATGGAGATCCTACGTGGCACATCAAACGTGAATGCAAATTCTTGTTGCTTTTCACATCAAAGGTTTTTCACATACTTTGCCTCTGGGCTGGTCCACAATTTAATCCACAAATAACAAGATGTGGTGAATGATATTACATGACTCCTAGTCTTTAGTCTTCTGAGAAGAGCTCCACAGTGTCCTCTCTCAACCTCCTGGAGAGATGTCACTTTGTGAGTAAACCCATTCTGTCTTCCTTGTGGGTGGGAGAGTTCACGAGAGAGACCCCAGAAAAAGGTAGAGATCCAGACACCAAAGCTGAAGTCCTGTACCCAGGAGTGAGGCTATCTGGAGCCAGCAAGCCCAGCTGAAAACCAACTGGTCAAAAAGATGCATGAGCACAGCCCACATCTACATCAGAGTTGAGTTAAGCAGCAGAGTCCTGCCCAACTGCCTTGTCACAGACCCAAAAGCAAATGATAACTGTGACTATAAAGCCACTGGGTTTGATGGGATCTGCCACACAGTGATTGAAAACGAACACAGCCCAATGTAATCAATCCCTCTGTGCTTTTAGTTTTTTCCTCCTAATGATACATAGTATTATTTTGCAACATTTAAAATCTTATATCAATGGTGAATTATTATTGTAAGAATTCCCTTTTACACATTATTATATTGAAATGTAGATG